ATTTATAGAGCCATTGTAACCTTTCTTTCAAAAATTTTCCCCTGCGGCGCTGTTTTCTCGTTAAAGTTTTGAGTTTTTTGGAAAAATTTTTGGGGCCCCCGAAATTTTTTTCTGGCTACGCCCCTGGCCCGGACACTTCCCCTATGATTTGAGGCCGAAAACCGATTGGCTCAGTCATCTTCAGTGTTTTTTCCAGTATTAGACCAAAATGGAACAAGCCTGAAAAAAAATTTGCATACAAAATTAGATTTTCGGCGAGTTGGTTTTCGGCGAGATGGTTTTCGGCGAAATGGTTTTCGGCGAAATGGTTTTCGGCGAAATGGTTTTCGGCGAAATGGTTTTCGGCGAGTTGGTTTTCGGCGAGATGGTTTTTCGGCGAAATGGTTTTCGGCGAAATGGTTTTCGGCGAGATGGTTTTCGGCGAACTGGTCCGATACCGCCTGGTCTCTCGGTCTCAATCCACCCGATTGCGAGGGTGGGGCTCCAGTGACCGGAGAGCAAGAACGATAATTGGGCCTCCCCTTGGTTTCGGAAATTATTCACAGGGTTTTTTGGTTTCCATTTTTACGCGCCGCGAGCAATTCTGACAAACCCTAAAAAAAACCGACGCCGGAAATCTGGAGGAACCCTCGAAAAATAGGAATGGCCGGGGGGTTGTTTTGTACATCCGAGGAAACGCGAATGGTCCCGCCTGGAAGAGGGTGAGAGACCACGTTTTTTTTGGCTGCAAAAGGGAAACGACCAGAAATTGGCAGAGGTGCATTTTTTTGTGTTATTCTTTGTGATTCTCTGGGAAGTACAGAGTGGTTTGAAGTGGCCAGAAGGGATCTTGGGCTTTTTTTTAGAAATTTAGATGGCAAAAGCGGGTTTTATTAATATTTTAAGGGCCTTAAAAATGCATGAATCGGCCCCTTTTATGGATGATTGGGTCTCAACAGCTAGCCGAGATGTCAAAAACCGCATTCAAGAAACTATTCATTTTGCATTAGCGTTATTAGATGATAAACTTTTCTAAAAAAAAGATCCTCTACAAGTTTGTGACGCCTTTGACGAGTTGCACATTTTTCAGCGCCCAGTCGAAATCCGTCAGCTTTGAGTTTCACGCTTCCTTGTCTCTGTAACCGATCTGTCTGCGGCCGCGTCGCCGCAGGTGCGAAAAATAATTTCCTAGCGTGTACAAATCGCGTTTTGCGATGAAAGTAAGGCTTTTCCAATCATCTTATCACATAAAATAGTACGCCACTTTTCATACATTTATTACATTAAATGAAATAGTGAACCATAAAATGATACGGTTACGAGGTCCAGCCAGAATTCTCTCATCATCTTTTTCACTAACAGGACGGGTAGGCCAAGGATATGTATCTTGCTAGCTCGTAGTAACCGGGAAGAGGCCCACTGTACGCACGTTGCGTGCGTGGGGCAATAGCAAGAGATATTTGGCTGCCAAGGCCCGCTTTCCTAATTGCGCGACGCGTGTAAAAACCGCGTAGCTATCTTCTGGCTATTCCGAACCTAACCGGAGGATATACTAAAATCTCGCCGGTGTGTCGTCACTAGAGCGTGGTCGCAGCCGCGAAAGGGGAATTGGTTCACCTATCCGAAATCACGAATTCATCGCGCATCGGAAAGGCCGGTGGACACGTTGCGTATGCGTGCGTATAAATCCACAGGAATCCATAGCCCTTAAAACTTATAGAAATTGGCGTGTGCTTCGTTTTAATTATAAACTAGGTCAATAACATTTTATTCGATAACGCTTTTTTTTAAATTACGCGACACTTGACGCTATTGTTGCCAAAAGAACGTAGCCATGATGTCTACCACCCTTGCATAGACTACAATCCATTTTTAGCGCTTATTGCTTTGTTGCAAGCTGCAGGAACGTATTTCCGGATCAATCCAATCCGTTGGTGCACTCCCCCGCTAATTGGTCAAACACCTGCAAAACATATTCGGGACTGCCACCCTCGCCGCCCAAATTTCCGGCCCAAGCGGCGTGATTTTCAAAACGCCCGCTTTTTTTTTACTTCTACCTCACTTCCAGAGAATACTCGCCGTTCTATCCTCATTTCCGGATGATCTGACCCGGCATAATTGGGTCCATTTCCGGTGGCATCTGGGGGTGGTGAAACGGTTTTCGGAAAATAAATCTGGGAGGGATCCGGATACAAAAATTTAGAAAAGCTTAACTTTAATTCAAAACTGAATTAGTGAATCTTATATTGATCGATATTCTCTTGATTATCCCACTCTTTCTCTCTTTCTCTTTCTCTCTCTCTATTTATCTATTGCGGTCTCTCTCACTCTTTCTGTGACTCTCTCCGTCTCTCTCGCTCGCTCTGTCTCTCGACCTCTCTCCTCTCTCTCTCTCTCTCTCTCTCTCTCTCTCTCTCTCTCTCTCTCTCTTTCTGTGACTCTCTATGTCTCTCTCGCCCGCTCTGTCTCTCGATGTCACTCTCTCTCCCTCACAATCGAAAGTACGATAATTACTGTTTCCTACCCACTCCTACTAACTACAAAATCTCCGCCTGCAGGGTTGTGACTAACCCAAACAAGCCAAACCCATTTTTTCCATATGCCAAGTTGCGGAAAACTTGGCCGGTACCTCAGTGCCTACAATTCTAGTGCCAGCACCCAGACCCAAAAACCTTTAGTAGTCACAAGGTACCCCGGGGGCGTTCGACCCCACCTAAGAACCCGAAAAAATTCAAGCCTACAATTCTCCCGGCCGCAGCCACCCCAAGTTTTGTGTTTTTGGGTGTTTGGGCGGAGAGCGGGTCACGGAAAGTCACGGAAACGACTACATTTCGACTGGCCGGGTGAATGAAGGGGAAGGCTAGACATTTTTCAGGGAATTGTCTGAAGCCGAGAATTTCGGGGGATTAAAGGGACTTGGAGGGCTGGAATTCCGTTCCGGAATAATCCTCTCTAGCTCGTCGTGGAAAAGACGGAGCCGAATGAGTTTTAGACCATTAGAAAGCCCGAAGATGAGAATGGCTATTTTGCTGGCATCTATTGAATGTTTTTGCCAGCAGAATGAGTCTTTTATAGCGGCCATTTTAAACTGATCGCTTTCGTCGCTGAAAAAGCCTGAAAACGTAGGAAAAATTTAGAAAAATATAGGAAATTTATCTTGATGCATTAGTTTTTGGGTAAATCGACGGAAACCGTTATTAATACGATCAAGCCTAAGCCTAAAGCTGTGCTATTCAAGCCGAAGCTAAGCCTAAACCTAAGCTTATTCGGCGTACTTTCTACTGCTCGTTCCAACGAGGTATCATCGTAACTTTTACAACCACTCCTTTACTAATACTACAACCACTTGTATTACTGTTTTTACCGGTCCGACAGCCTATCTATGGCAAGCTCATGCTCAGATTTTGTTTGCTCTTTAAAAGCACGTCGAATCGGCGATGGCTCCGGATTTTCCAAGGATTTTGACGCGCGCTAGATGCGCGAAGAAGCGCTCGACCAACTTTGCGAAGTTTTGATCGATTACGCAATGAAAATGCGTGCTTGTTTAAGATTTTCTCGCCTCAAAAAATTTCCTCTTCATTACTCCTGGCGGTCGGGTGGATGCTAGTGTTTTGCAGCCAGGAACAGGCATAACGGATTCGCCATGTTTCAGTACTCAGCTGATTTACCACGATTACATATACCCATAATTCCCCCATTTTCTGTATTTTTGCAAACTAAAACTAATTGCGACGAGTCGATCGAAGACCGGGATGAGCCGCCGGCGCGAAAACGCGAAAAATGTAATAACACGCTATTTCCGTTGCCCATCTGGCCTCGGGGGACCCCTTTTTGCAACAATTCTCCACTGTCCTTGTCTGCAAATTCTACGAAATTACGGCAAAAATACGCAATTTATCGGAAAACGTCAAAATGTGCTCGTTGAATCGGAAAGTAGAAGAAGAAAACAAGTTCGGAATGCAAATTGGGGAATATCGAAAATGGAAAATCGGGAAAAAGGAATTAAAATTGTCACCGGGATTGAAGAGAATCTTGTAAGATTAATAAATTCCTAGCTAATAAAATAACGTTGTTTTGCTGCTAATTAAGGTCAAAAAGTTTAATAAAAATGGGAAACAATTAAAACAAGTAAAAACGCAATCTTTTGCGATGTTAAAGATTTTTGATTGAATTTAGAGATTTTGAAACATTATACATTTTTTGCTTTGCACATTGAAAACAAAAAAAATACACGAAATAGTAAGAACAAACAGAATATTTTAAATTTACATTCAAATTTCATGTGAAATGGCAGAATGCTCAATTTCAGCTGCCGAATGACTTTCGGCTTCGACGAGGTGGTGGTGTTTCTGCTTGCGCTCTCGACCGAGGGAATGCCGACGTTGTTCCCAGCTGAAAACGGCTCGTTTTTGATCATGCCATGATCGTGATCACGCTCATGCTCGCTAGCTAAATGCGCAGTTGTGAGCTAGAGGGATCAGAAATTGCTCAATGGAAGGAAGAAGAGGAGGAAGAGATCGATTCAGCCGGCTTTTATATAAAGAAAAGATACTCACCGAACAGCCTTCCCAATCGTCTTCCCAATCCGTCTGCCAACCGATTGGCTCTTCATCGAATTCGGCTCGTCGTCCACGAATCGAGCGATTGGGGCTGGGGAGGCGAGAGGGGATGGAGGGATTTTCTGAAGATGGCAGTAGATACTTCCGGAAATGGTGGACAGGATGGTAAGCCAGCAGAGATACTTTAGGAAAGATACAGGGACGTAGCGCAATACCGGCCCCGGCCCCCCCCCCCCCGAAATCGGCCGGGGCCCGAAAATTTCATAAGGGGGGACCATTATGATTTTCATTTTCTCAAAAATTTTGCTGCCTGCGGCGCTATTTTTTTCACGTTTTTACGGCTATTTGTGAAGCTATGTAACCTTTTTTTTCAAAATTTTTGCCTGCGGCGCGGTTTTCTCGCTGATCTTTTGAGTTTTTTGGAAACATTTTCTGGAAGCCCCCAGAAATTTTTTCTGGCTACGCTCTTGGCGACATATAAGCCGGCGCAGGCTAACAGAGACTTTTTAAGAAATCAGACCCCGAGAGGGCAAAAGCTAGCAGAGGAAATTTGGGAATAGCGACATTCTATAGGAGGGGCATGCTAGCAGCGATTCTTCGGGCGACGTCAAAATTCGGGAGAAGAGCGGGCTCGCGCAGAGTTTCGAGGAAAAGTTGGTGCTCAGGGGAGGGCGCGCAAGCAACGATTCTATAGGAAATAATCGCGGTTCCGCGATTTCCAGGTCAGCCAGCAGAAAACTTTTATGCCTCTCAAATCCTAGCAGAGGCAGGCTGGCAGAGGTTATGTAGGAAAAGCGGAATCCGAGTAGGGGCAAACTAGCAGAAACTTTTTAGGAATGACCAACCCAATAGGAGGCAACTAGCAAAGATTCTTTCGGAAATGGTAGTCCCATATATGAGGAATGATAGAGTGAGAAAGCGAGAGAGAGAGAGAGAGAGAGAGAGAGAGAGAGAGAGAGAGAGAGAAGGAGAAGAGATTGAGCTACAGAACAAAAAATTACCGTATACGCGACGACTCCAAATGGTACAGGTGACCGTCCTCTCGTCCTTCGCCTCGGCTTTTTCAGCATATTTGCCTAAATTTTAAAATTACGCCTCTTTCTTACAATCCAAAATATGCAAATTCTTGGATTTTTTCCGTTCATTCCCCAAAACGGTGTTACTGTCGGTAAGCAGCGAGGTTAATGCAAATTTCCATCCAAAAAGCCTGTGCGCATTCCCACGATTAGCTGCCAAAAGAATCGGGTTATAAAAAATCATTCATATTATTAAGATTTATTAAAAGTGGTGTGGTAATAATAATATCCATCATATGCGCAAATAATAATATTAATAATTATCGTAGTAATAATATAATTAATACACACACAGTGGCACACAAAAATCTGATTGATATATGTAAATCAATCATCATTGAAAAATTCGTTATGAAAGGGCGGGGGTTTCTGATTTTTTGGGGCGGACCGGGATGGCAATTTGCATAATTTTTTAAGGCCCGAATACCGATTTTTTTTGTAATTTATGTTGTCGAAAAATTTTCGATATTCCGGCCTTAAAAATTATGCTAATTTTAATTTGTACGTGTATGAATTTTTGAGACCATAAATAAATATTTTCTGATGCAAAATCGGGTGAATTAAATTGATGGAAAATCACAGAACACCGGGCGCTAGTCAGTAATGTATATATAAAAGAAATAAGCAGATTTTTGGGAGGGTTACGGTAAAATTTATTGATTTTCAAAATATATTTTTGTAGTGCTAATAAACTAAAAATTCTACTTTTTTAGGAAAAATGATATTTCGATTTTTTAAACGTATAAATTTTGTAATTTTGAGGAAAAGCTTAAGCTTTCCAAAAATTGCATAACATCGAAAATGTCCAAATTTGCATAAATTCGGAAATTTCAATTTGAAATTTGTATATCATAATGCTTCTACCGTAACCCACAAAAAAACGCAAAAAATTGAACTCTCAACACTTTTTGTAGATATTATTTGGCAAGGTGCATGTCATCAGCAACATCATCAAAAACAGACCAGAAAATCGATACAAAAAAATTCAAATGCAGATCTTCAATCGAAAATAAAATTCAGGTATATCCTATTACGCTAGGGAATTCGGGGCTTGGGTTTTTGGGGAAACTCACGTAATAGAGAAAACGAAAATACAATATTTTTGTGCACGCGTACGGTAATTAACAAAAATTCTGGATTTTTAAAAAAACATACCGTAACCTAAGCTCGGAAATGGATAGGGAATTAGCATATATAAAAAATAAAAATACAGTATATTATAAATCGTTAATATTAGACCAGAATTCAGGAAAAATAATTCATCGCCGAAAATGTCAATATGGAATGACGCGGAATTTTAAGGGGTGGATAAATGCCTCGTTTTTGTGTGTGTTTTTCTGACCACTTACACAGTAAGTACGCGAGTTGACACAGGACACACCCTGTCATGGTGGGGGTCCTGTCACGAATTGTGGGGGCGGAACTGGCCTATTTTGGGAGTACGGTAGGAGTGAACTGGTCAAAACCGGAGCGGGGTACGGTATTTGGGGCAACCTTTTAGAAGATGAGGTGAAAAAAAAATCGTTTTTACAAGGATTACTGTAATCATTTCCAAAATGATTAAAATAGTTTTAAAAGGAATTTTCACCACATTTTGTAAATTTTAAAATTTATTATCATTTTAGTTATTTTTTGAAAATTAACTTGTCGAATTGTAGTTGAAAAACCTAATGCTCGATTTTTTTGTCTCATTTTTCGAAAAATTGCCTCAAATCCACCGTAAGACTTGATGGAATTCCGGATTAAAGGTACTGAGAAGCCAAATTAAGCCATGGACGTTTTTCCCTTTAATTAGAAAATATTGAGAATCAAAATTAGCGGAATTTCACGAAATTAAACTTTATGAATCTAAAACATTTGAAAAATTTCGAGCTGATTTCTTTGATTTCAAAATTTCAAAATTTTGCTCAAAATCCAAAAAAATTTAGGAATTCACAAAATCCATAGACAGCTTTTGACTTCCCAGCCCCATTAAATCTCCAAAAGAAGCAGTTTTACGGGGAGTTTCATCACTGAACCGTGATTTCCGGGTCAAGCTCCTTCATAGAAAAGCATCAGCCTCCTCGTCGGAGTCGTGCTCGGTTCGTTCGCGGTCTTCCCTGGGTGTGGAGGAGTTGTGAATTCCTCCCCCGCCCCCGGCTCGTGCTCCTCCATGATCGTCGGTCCTGCCCGTGCCGATTCCTCCGACCCCGGCCACCCCGGGGATTGCCTGGTTCCGCTTCTTCTTCGCCTTCTTCAGCATTTGCGCCTGAAACGAAAGCAGCGTTACGGGTCGTGATGTATCCGGGGCTCTCTCTCATTTTTCGATGGAATTTTAAAGTATTTAGAATTAACTAATTAATTTTTTATGGGTTTGAAAGGGATAGATGAGTGATAGGATAGGTATAGAATAAATACGGCTTTTTGAAATGCATTAAGATGTCAAAAAGACCGGGGTGACCTCCCCACTTTTGTATCACGGCTCCATGTTCATCTACACGGCTGTTCAGTATACCAATATGCGCGTCTTGGTCTGACGAGTCTTTTGGTATCCTTTACAGCACCTTAGGAGCAAGTGTAGCCGGGACTTTCCTGACTTAAAACTATTATATCCGCTATTACTATTATATTATACCTTGAATATAGGTAAAATAGGGGGTTTCGATCAAATTAAACTTGTATCATCTATTACTGATATCCAGTTAAGTAAAATCTAACACACTCTTTTAATTTTTGTGGAGTACGCCAAACGCATTTTCTATTGTTGCTAATAAACAATTCTAAAAATCTAAATTCTAAAAATATCGCTATGCAAAGACGTTTTCATCATTTTGACAGCTACGCATTCCAACCAAAAAGTGTGGCTACCGTACTACGAAAACGCAGATCAATAATTTTGGTTGAGGAAAAGCGCGGTGTGCGGTGTGCTAAAGCGAAAGCCTAAGAAGAATATCGATAGTAACTGAAAATATATCTAGGGACGGACAGGGGAAGATATCTACCAAATCCTAGATGACTACCGTATGTTAACATGCTCAAAAATCACCCAAAACGCTTTGTAGAACTTATTTTACAATTTTAGACCGAGTTTTAATATAGAGAGAAGTTCTATAATTAACAAAATGCCAAAAAATGCCATCTATTTTAATTCAATTCTGATTTTAAATCAATTAAGATGACCGTAAGCTGAGGGATAGGGTCAAACCAAAAGATATACTGAAGTGAGAGACAGGAAAGAGAGTCCCGGCACGAAAGCCTTTAAAATATATATGTAAATATGCATATTTGCAGCAGCAGCCAAAAAGCGATAGCACAGCCAGCCAGAGCACACCGCGTAAATGTTCAAAGTATCGTTGCGGAAAAACTGGAGCGGAAAGGGCACACCGGTTAATTTTTTGTAAATGGATTGGAACCGAAAATAATGTAGTTTTTAATTTTGATGAATTTAAATTATTTAAATAAAATCAATTACAAGTTTAGGTGTATTTTTCAATTTACTAAAGTAAGCATATGCATAATTTACACTAAAAATAAAATAATTCCGTAAATTCCGTTCCAACCCATTCCCGTCATTAGCCAAGCCATGGAAAAAGCGGTGTGAAAAATGAAAAGCCGTGGTGGGCCCGAATCAATAAATACGATTTTTTATGTTTGTGCAGACTAGCGTACTCACCCGAAGTGCCGATTTGAGGATGGTGATTGTTCCTGGGGGCTGGATATGGGGCTCTCCATCCACTTGTACTGGCCATTCCTCGTGGGTCGTGATGCGGATCTGAAAAAATTTGGGTTTAAAGGAGGATTGAAGTCAGAATATAGGCTAGCTATGGATTTTCCGCGGTCGCGACAGGTAAAGCGCCCGTGCTGATTCCATGGCATAATCGATTACGTGCCCTAAATAGTGGCCAATCGGTGACCGCGACACGCAGCGCGCGTATGTTTGCTGTTCTATAGCGTAATGAATTATGAGTATTATGGTCGCGTTACGTGTCGCGTTGCGTGTCGCCTTGCGTGTCACGTCAGGTATCGCGAGCGATTACCGCGTTGCGTGTCGCTAACTGTGGCACGGCGTGTCGCGATCGCGGTCAAAATAGGCGAGAATCCAGAGCCAATATAACCCATAACCACACCTTTTTCAATCGCCCAGTTTAAAATTAATAATGACCAAAAATTGTATTTAAAACAATCCGCTTTAATTTTTGAAAAATTTTTATTTAAAGGCCCTAGAAACCTCTAAAAGTGAAATTTCGATGTTTTGCAACCAAAGAAATTTTTCATTCTTTTTCGATTTTAAAAGCGATTATTGCATTCAATTAAGTGGTGTTAAGCGACGCGACGCTACACTCCAACTTACACTGCCTCCCTGCGCGATTCGAATCCCCGCCGCCAATTTCGACTGGATGAGGCCAAGGCGGGAGACATCAGAGACACCAACGACCTGAAAATATCCGTCTATTAATGCCCAAAAAGTACGTAGCTACTATACGCCGGGCTACACGTACTCTACGTTACAGTAACGACCGTAAAATTACCAAAAACATTAAAATTCCATAGCCAACCTCCAGCAACCCATCATAATGCGTGGGCTTCGAGAAGTTCTCGTCCTCCTTTGCTGTCCCCCATGGATTGGCTCCACTTCCCCATGATAACAGATTCAACACGATGATCCCCTCGATGTTCGGCAGTTCGATCACCTTCCCATCCACCTCCACCTCAATCCGCTTCCATAAATCTTTGCACGTCCTTTCGAAGAGGGCCTTCTGGAGACCAATCTTCACGTATTGCGTCTTGTTGAACAGGCGGGATTGGAACTTCTCGGGGTTGGCGTCGCGCTGAAAACACATTGATAGAGAAAAATATTTTATTGAGGGTACTGCGGTGACCTAAGTTGAAGACTTCATATATTTTGGGTACCGAGTTCCTTTAAAGTGACTCGAAAACGTGAAAATCGACCCAGCATGTTGACTAGGTCTCGACAGTTACCTTCTGGCTTCAAATGATGCGTAGGGATACGATAAGAGGCCAGTAAGTGCATCTACTCTTATTGTTGACTAGACAAGAGCGGGTCACCCCAAAGTAGGCCTTGCGACGTATATCGATTTTCAATTGCATGGTCCTTTAAGGGCTATACGAGGCCAGCATCGACGTTTTCCTTGATTAGATCTCGACAGCTACGCGCCATTTAAAGTCCGCCTACGAACTGTATGGACATTGGCTTGAAGGGACTTTTAAAGGGCTATGCAACCCCAGCATCGACTTTTTCTTTGATTAGCTCTCGACAAAAGCTTCCAAAAAGCCCATCCGCCATTTGAATTTTGCATCGAAAATTACGGTTCAAGAGCTGTTTAAGTGGTCTTACTATTAAGCTTGTCATTTGGTAGTTGTCGTGATCTAGCGGGCAGAAGGTCGTAGATTTTTGCGCGTGTTAGCCCTTTAATCGATCTTTTACTCTCTCACCTTGTTGTGAAACTTCAAACACACATCCGCATCAATCCCAATCCCAAAATAGTTGTTCATGATGATCATGCTCGTCTGATCCTCTGGATTATTCATCATTCCCTCTCCCTCTGCTCCTCCCTCGGCTGCCGGGGCTGTCGGGGGTTGTGATCTAGAAAATTTGGGGTTTGTAGTTTGTAGCCCAGATCAGCTGCTGTGATAGGAACCCAGGTATCGACCCGACTTACCGTTCTTCTTCGTGGAAAACGACAGCCCATCGATCGAGCCGGACCTCATCGGCCTCGATGACGTCTTTTAGGATGTCAAGCGGATTCTCCTCTCCGGTATAACCACCACCCCATCGGAGCACTCGGGCCAGATCGTTGCCAGTACCAAGCGGAACTACACCACAGGGTGGGGAGAAACAGGCGGCGTCCTGCAACGAAATTTATACCTTAAATTTATCATAAAAAATTAGTGTCATTTATATCCTATTTTTAATGCTAGAATCGACAGAAACTCTCATTTCACAGCTATGAAGCTACAAATGCTGTATAGGTTAGCAAAAATAGCGTAATTTCGTTCGATTCGACCTGCCGATACCTTTAAGAACTCCAATCATACCTGTTTGGCAATATCCAAACACTGCAACACCCATCCGATCGTCCCGTCCCCGCCGCACGCCAGGATCTTGTACTTTGGAATGTTGCGGAACACGTAGAGTCTAGAAAATTTGGGTTATTCGTGATTTTACCCAGGACAACTTTAATTTTAAACTTTGACTCACCCAACAAGCGGCCCTCCCTTCAACACATCAAATACTTGGAACGGGTTGAGCAACTTCCGGAAGCTCTTGATCAGCTCCGTTCCTTGGCAGCCACCGCTTTTCACGTTCACCAGGACGAGGAGGGGTTCAGAGTCTGGGGGCAGCATTTTTGGCTGAAAAATAGAGATAATGGCGCGATAAAAATGACATATATAGATCAAATCAGCACTTATCGACTCAATACTACGTTTTTCATGGTTTTTCAAGATTTTGTGACGGTTTTGCAGTTCAATATCGGCTTTCAAAGCGTGCAGGGTCACCGCTACCGCTGTATTCGAGCTGTCACCGTCGCTTTAAAACACGTTAGATGCAAATTCTGACCTGTACATTCGGCAAACACAACACGATCAACTTCTTGTCTTCATAGACGGCTCCCTGAAGCTTTTGAACGGCTGCCGTGGCGGCTTTTGGCGTGTTAAAGGTGATGACAAGGCTCCCGTATTCGAAGTAGATCGGCCCGATGGCGGTGAAGGGCTTTTCTGAAAAAATTGGGGGTTTTTCGGGACGAGGTAATGAGCGAGAACGAGAGGGAGAGAGAGAATGAGAGAAAAAGAGATAAAGCTAAAAAGAGAGAGGGAGAGAGAGAGACAGAGAGAGAGAGAGCGATCTAACACGAGCTTACCCTTCGCCCCCAACAACTTCAAGAGTATCCGCTCGTATTGCCGTTGTGCTAGCGAAACTGGGAGATTCCCCACAAACACAGCATGATCGTGCGGGTCCTCCTTCTCTTGGACGTAGAATCGGATGACGTGGTATCGTCGGAGGGAGTCCTGAAAGGTTTGGGTAGTTTTTGCAAGCAAAAAATTAGAAATCTTCGAATTCTAAAGTCAAGTTTTTACCTTTCTTAAGTTCCGGACAAGCTGCAGCATATTTTCGTGGTGATTGCAGGTTCGTTCAGCCACACCACGTTCTAGCGAGACTTCGATGAGGTTATATCTGGAAATGGGTTCGTAGGGCATCGTCTCTCTCGCTCTCGCTCTCCCTCCCTCTCCCTCCCTCTCTCTCTCTCTCTCTCTCTCTCTCTCTCTCTTTCGCTCTGTATTTTTCTCGGTCGCTATGTCACTCTCACTGCATCGCTCTCCCTGTTTCTCTCTCTTTCTCGCTCCTCGCTGTCTCTCGCGCGCTTTCTTTTCGCTATCTCTCTCTATCTCTCTGACTTTCTCTCTCGCTCTCTCTCTCGAGCTCCCTTTCTCTCCAACCCACCGATTCCACGTCTTCCGGTCCAGCCCGAAATGTTCCAGCGATTCAGAAACGATGTCCTGGACGACCGTCTCTTTCGTCACGTTCAGCGTACAGAACGTCACCGGGACCCTGAAAAAGGATTGATGGCAATTTGGTAACCTTCCTACCGTAACCATCCACCATAGATCTTCACCACCGCCTTATCCGGGTCATCCCGATACCGTAGAAAAACTTGGGCTCTCCTCCCCTCTGGCCGTTTCACATTTCGAAGTGGTACTGGGTCTTCGAGGGTCTCTTCCTCACCGGTTACTGTAATTCATCAATAGCGATAGATCCCTGGGTACGTAGGTAGATAATGGCACCACGTCATACCATTATAAACCTAAGAAAAAGTCCAAAAAACCCACGGTCATTGATGACTTGCGTCACGTAGAAATTCTCGGGGGTGTCCTGTATGTGGAACCGTCGCAATGCGGCATCACGGATTTGCTGGGCCGAGGCGGTTTTTGGGACGGATGCCGTGCGGAAGACTTGGGTCCGGAGGGAATTGTTCCCGTCGAAGATTCGGAGCACCTGAAAAATAAAGAATACATAGTTTTTTACAAAATTCGCCATACCTCGTAGTCCTCCTTCTCCTTGCCCTCATCCCCTCCCGAAGACACATCATCCGCCGTGATCTTGCAGGGGCTCGACACTGAAATTCGGGGGTTAAATTGCCATTCGATCTGCTGTCTAATGTTATCACTATAGGGAAATCTGGTGTGGTCACAAAAAAAGATATGTAGACACGACAATTCGCGACGACTCAGGCGGGGGGAATTCGTGCGGGGGACAGAGTTTGATGCGGGAAGTGACTGGGGATTTGTGGAAATTTATGAATTTTGATTATATTAAATTAGGCCAGCTTAATCTGCTAATTCGCTGTTTATTAGAGTTTATTTCTATGGCTACAGCCCCTAATGCATCAATTTCCTAAAGAATCCATGCTATCTTGCCCTCTAGCACCCGGTGCTAACCTCAATGCCCTTCAATTTTCGCTAACTAAGAATCCCTAAGCATCCCTGCTAGTTTGCCCGCAGTTATCGAGTTTGCCCGCAGTTACCGCATTTGAAGGGTTGATAATACCGCATGAACGGCTCACTCTGATATTTCCTTAGGAAGCGCTGCTGATCTGCCTTTACAAAAATTAAGCGCCGCTTGACAATTCAAATGAGGCCAGGAGAATCCTCAAAGAATCACTGCTAGTTTGCTCCGCGGAAAACAAGTGTTAGCTTGATGGTGGCCGAATTCCTGAAAAATCTCTGCTAGCCTCCCAACAAAATCTCAAAGCCGAGCCATTCCACAACGAATCCCTGCTAGCTTGCCCTGACTTTTCTTACGAGCACACGTTAATTTCAGTGACACGCAAGATTCAAAATGTCTCTGCTAGCCTGCTACACAATTTTCCAATTTGAGCCAGTTCCCGAAGAATTACTGCCAGCTGTCCCTAGATAATTCGAATCGGGCGTTGTTACGTGCGCATTAATGACAAATGAATTCCAAAAAACCTCTGTTAGCTTGCCTAAGCTAATTCCCAAAGAACCCCTGCTGGCCTGCCCTAATACATAAAAAATTTTCTGCTTGAAAGTTATCCGGTTTCCTAAAAAAATCTTTGCTAGCTTGCCCGCAATTTTTGGATTTCTACAGTATTCTATCAATTTTACTCGTTCTCCGGCATCTTAATAATTTTCTGTGCGTTTTCTCTAACTACCCGTGTCCACCTATCTATCTTGACTATCTACGAAAAATATCGCAATTCAGTTGTTGTTCGGATGGTTAGAAGAAAAGAAGAGGGAAGACCAGTGACCCTTACGAGACGTCGACTGCTCGCTCGATGCCGTGATGTTCAACAGTTGCTCCATCGGCAGTTCGGTTCTCGGGATTGTCAAGCAGTTCGGGGGTAGCATGATCTTTTGCAATAGACCGAACTGACAGTTCCCGTCCATTTGTCGGTAGCACAGCGCGTGAGCCTGCAAATGGGGTGTAAGGGGCCTGTAAGCGTCAGTTTCGACCCCTTTGGTAGACTAGGTCTCGATACCTATCCGATCATACGTCGAAAGTCGTTCTAAAGGGACATCGAAACCCGAATTGATCGGGCATTTAAGCGTGAGAATAACCCTATTGCGAGAAAATAAAAGAACAAAAAAAATTTGGGTTTTGCTTTTTTGCCAAAAAATTATTATATTTTATATTATTTTGGGATGAGCATACTACTGTTAGTATATTTTTTTGACGCTCTATCCAGTCGCGTTAAAGACATTTTACGATCGCAAATGTCGAAAACTAGCATTACCCCCAATCGTCCTTGGTCGGAAAACCCGTTTAAATCTGGAATAGGCTATAGGGATTTTATATTAGAATTTAGCTTTTATAGAATTTTTTTGATATTACAATTTAACTTTGATGTTCAACTTAATTAGGTTTGTAAATATTTTTCCACCATCAGAAATCGTACCGTCTGCCCGCACCACTCGCACCTCATTCCGGCTAGACATTCGCTGGAGTAGCACACCTAAAAAAAAATTACGTAATCGGTAGTTGCTTCTTGGCAATTTTTAAAACTCAGTTTAACATTTTAATGCCCTCTTGCGCTTCTTACCTTTTTACAAACGACGCATCTACTGTCCCGCGGTAAATTACCCTCGCGCATGTGATGGTACTGTGAGTGGGATTGCTGAAAAATACAGATAAATATCTTCGATCTCTTTCTCTCTCTCTTTCCCTTTCTCTCTCGCTTCACTTGCGACATGTTTCTCCAGATTTCTCTAGAAATCTCTGCTCTGTTGCCCTTTTTCGCGGCATTCTCAAGACCTTATTTTTTTTTCCAAACCATTCTTCCCATAACCGCCACCACCTCGATCCAATGATCTACTCTCCAATAATGTTCTTTTTTGACGTCTAGCCTAAAGAAAAGCGCGGCGAGGGACAGCAAGGATATTCGGTTTGCCAGTCAGCCCCGGAGGCTCCAATCAGGGTCTCCCTCTGCCTCTCTCACTCTCCCTCTCTCTCACTCTCTCTTCTCTCTCTCTCTCTCTCTCTTCCCCTCTCCCTCAATTCCTCTGTCTCGCCCCGGGCCGTAGAATTGACGTCATCTGGGATGGATTGAGGGAAAAGCAGAAGAGAAGGGACCCTCTTTCCCCAGAACAATCCTCAATTTGTGTGCTCCTCCTCCCGACGGGGGCCAGCCGGGCAGAGGGCGCAATTCTATTTTTAGACCCATGCAAAGACCGGAAAGAGGATAGGCAGCTATAAGAGCTTTTGCTAAAGAATCACTGCTAGCTGGATAATGGGCTCAAATGCGGGAATTATAGATTGAAAAGGCAAGCTAGCATAGATTCTTTGAGATTCCGGCCATTCTGATTTCATAAGAATTACGGCTAATTGGTAATTGACCCTGGAATAGGATAAAACCTGGACTATGAAGGCAAGCTAGCGTAGATGCTTTGGGAATTTATGGTGCATCTCATCTTCTTTCTCAATTTCTCTCTCTCCCTATCCCTCGCTCGCGCTCTCTCTCTCATTCTCTCGATCTATCCCCAGCTCTCTCGGGTATGCGAAGGCTATTTTTCCACAAGGATCACTGCTAGCTGACCCCTGAGCAACTAAATCAGATAGATCCGTAAGCTACCACAGACTCTTTCCGACTTCTTTCTCTCTCTCTCTCTCTCTCTCTCTCTCTCTCTCTCTCTCTCGTTCTCCCTGTCTCTCGCTCGCTCTCTCTCCGTCTTGCTCTACCTCTATTCCACACCAGACCCTTTTTCACGTTCTTTTTTAGGATCGTCACTTCATTAGAACCCGTGAAGCCATCGGGCCCACCGGAGCAAAGCGCCCAATTAGCAGCCGTAAGCCCTCTAAATCCCCTATCGAAGGAGAAGAAGCACCCGAAGATGGGAGTACCACCGAGCAACACCTATCAGCGAGTTTTTTTAAGAAAATGGGACATCGAAAGGGCAAGGGCGCGAAAATGGTAACAGGGGGTTTTTGTGGAGGAGCACGACAGAGAAGGGCAAACTAGCAGAGAACGTTTAATCGAAATCGCCAGTTACGGTAGGCTAGCAAACACACTTTGCGGATTTTGGAATCAGATACAGTCGCCAGGCAAACTGGCAGAGATCATTTGAATTAGAAGTATCTGGACTTCAAATGTTCCTTTCCATAGGCAGCATAGCAGAGAACCAGCATAGGCATTTTAGGAATGTTCTTTTACCGGGCCAGCTAGCAGAAACCCTTTGCGAAAACAAACCTTCTCTAGACTCGGCACAAACGTCGCGGCTTCTTTGCAGTCGGACACGGCCAAATCTTGGCAATCCACGTGCACATAGTACTCGCACACTAAAATATACCTTTAGGATGATAACTTAATATCAACGAGGAATAGGCCGTTATATTTTTGGGGATCATTAATGACTGAAAAACGCTTGAAAATCGTTGGTTTTTCGCTTGCTAACCCTTAAAAATGGTGGCCAAACGCATATAATTTTGAATTACACCCATTAATGCTGGTTTAATGGAATCGATAGGTTTTGCCATCCAATTACCTTTAAACGGAGACCGTATATCCCCTAATTTTTCAATTTTTTCGCTATTTTTACTTCCAACTGCTTTTAGAAAGCTACTGAGGGTGTCTTAACTAGCGAATTTTGACGAATTTCACTGATAACCATCATTAATGAGTGGCGGAAAACTATAGCTTGCTCTGCCTTCCCAATCCCTTTAAAATCTCCGTACCCTCGCACTCGACACTCATCGCATCTTCGGTCCTCTTTCGGCAAACATTACAGAATCGCCGCTTGATGTGCCCGGGCTCACTCCACGTATGGGCCACCGGATTCTAAAAGGCAGAGGAGGGTTACGGTAACGAAGCCAATTTTAATGGCTCTCTCCCATTCTCTCTCTCTCTCTCTCTCTCTCTCTCTCTCTCTCTCTCTCTCTCTCACCTTGATAAGCTGCAGGGCCACACCGCTGCAATAGGAAACGACCGTCTTCATGCATTTCTCGTGGCACACAAAGTTGCATACTGTAATAAGGCAATTTTATAGGTTTCCGAGTTTCGGGGCAAACTAGCGGAGATTCCTTGCGGAATTTTGGCCGAGATATTTTGGTTTTCGAAGTTTTCCGGTCAATTTTTCGAGGAGCGAGCAGCAGTTTTAGGAATCGATTCTACCAAAAAAATGGTGGCTAGCAAAGAAACTTCAGGATCAGGCAACTAGCCGAGACCATTCATCGTGCTAACCTTCACAAACGTATCCCTGCGTCAGCATGCCCCATATCTTCTCGCAGCAGTTGTGACAGTAAGTCGGTTTCGTGAAGGTTTTCCTGGATTAAAAAAATGTTCATAACCTAACAGATCTCCGAAACAATTAAAAAGGTATCAAGGGGGTTAGTAAGGTTAAAAAACATACTCGTACCTCTGGAAATAATGGCCGTGGTCGCGGCCGAGCTCGAGGAGGTTCGCGTCCACATTGTGGCCCTCAGCCGCCATGTCTGGAAATGGCAAGCTAGCGGTGATTCTTGGGGATTTGAGGACTTTCTCACTCTCTGTATCTCTCGCTCGCTCTCTCTCTCATTCACTCTCTATCCTCTTCTCAGTCTTTCTCTCTCTCTCTCTCTCTCTCTCTCTCTCTCTCTCTCTCTCCTCTCTCTCTCTCTGGCTCTTTCTGGCTCTCTCACTCTACGTCTTTCGATCTATCTCACTCACTTTCTTTCTGGCTTCCCAGTCACTGGCTCTCTTTCTCCCTTTCTTCTCTCTCTCTCTCTCTCTCTCTCTCTCTCTCTCTCTCTCTCTCGCTTACCTATAAACCGTGTTGCTGCTACCGTTCCTCTACTATCCTCATGATGGAGTACCGATGGTGGTGGTGGGGTCGAATTGGGCGTGAAACGGAGACAGCCCTGCAAAAATGAGCATTAAAAAGTTATCAATATTTGCATTAAATGAAATATAAAAACACTATTAACTTGTTAATTCGAAAAAGTGCAAAAATTGAGAAAAAGTTCAACTACAAAAAATGAAAAAACTGGAGTGACCCTTCGAGGACCGAGAAACCGGTTCGGGGCAATTGAAAGCGGTGGTCTCAAGTGTTTTGTCGAGCCTTGAAAAATTTGAATAGAGTCGAGTCAATACAGAGAGAGAATTTTGGGAGAGAGAGAGAGAGAAGGAGAGAGAGAGAGAGCGAGAGAGAGAAGGAGAGAGAGCGAGAGCGAGAAAGCAGGAGAGAGACTTAAATCCCACAAGAAAAATTCAAGTTTGTTTGGAGCTGTTCCGCAAAGAAATTTGCTAGCCTGTCCTCCAAATTTGTGTAACTTAGCTGATTTCTAAGGAAAGCCCTGAAAGAACCCGGCGAATTTGCAAAACCCGATGCTCCCAGAAAAAGCTACTTTGCTCCAAAAAAACTCATCACTCCCCCAGCCGAAAAAACCCGTTGGCTCACTTCCAAAATTTCAATTCGTCATCCCGGCGGTGGGGTGCAGGCTGCATCTTTATCCCCAGACCCTATTTCTGGGGCCACCCGGCTGATTTGCGTGAATTTATGAGGCGGGTGGATGCAATTTTCACGGGCCGTCTCGATGGGGGCCCCCAGCCGACCCGGAGCTATTTTTAGGGCCCCCAGTTTTTCAGCCAGCCTTTTGGGCTCATATTTGATAATGTGGGAGCACGAGAAAGAGCGCAAGAACAAAAGGGAGAATTTGGGTACAAATATGATAGCGGGTGGGGTCGAATAAAAAATGAAAATGCTGGTTTTAACGCAACAAGCATTTCGATGTCGTTTTTCGGGCTCGCATAAACTGTCGCTATATTTCTTTTCGACACTCCATTGAATAGAGTTTTCCAAAATCAACATTATTTGCAAAACCATACCGATCGGATCTTTTGCATAAACGGGAGGGGAGGGATAACTTTTTTTAGGATCCAATTTCTCTAATATAAATGGCGGAAATGTTTCTGCGCTGTTTTTATTTTTGCTAAACGTAAAACTGTACAAATTTTATAAAAAATTGTCGAAAAAACACGAAAATGGCTGTTTTTACCAAAATTTTGCCGATACTTTTCTTAATTCCAATTAGCAATATTTTAACAATACGACTATAAAATACCTGCTTTTGAGCACTCTTTTAAACTAATCCAAAAACTAAATTTAAATCAAAAAAATAGCTTTTTCGGCTGGAATAATAAAATATAAAAATACAACAAAACATAGGTTTTGCGCATTATCCTGTCTACTCAAATCATTTTTTCAAGCTTTTTTGCCATTAAAAAATTACTGTGGATTTTGTGAGCTGAAAATTGACGGAATGGGAAATTTTTGCCGCTTTACCGAATAAAATTTTTAAATCCCCTCTTTAATTAGAAATTAAGAATATTAGCCTTAAAAAGAGCCAGCCAGCGCACACGTGACAGATCGAGGACCCCCGGTGCGATGGCCCTCCCGGGTGGGGCTCCTTTCTTGGGGATCCCTCCCGCCCGGTGAATATTCCCAGAAAATTGGCTGGCTGGTGGGGAGGAGGAGGAGGAGGGCGACTTATAGGGGGCGGTGGCCCAACACAAATGAGATTAAGAAGGGGGGAGAAAGAGGAAGGGGAGAAGACTGGCTAGAGGAGGGGAGCCCGAGGGTCCCATTCGCGCCCTGGGTGGTCTCTCACGCCACGGGGGAG